TCGACCTATTTTCACTTGGTTATGACTGATGTATTTTTTCGGCCGCCATCTTGGATCCGCCATTTTGAAATGTGATAAATTATTTTAAATATGAAGAGGGTGTTGTGACCCATCATTTATAACTAATTTTTTAAGCTAAACTCAATGCCGCAATCCATTTTTTGCTATCAAGTTTTATTTATGAAATATTGCAATTTTTTTGTAAAAAATGTCAATATTTAAAATCAAAAAATTAAAATGAAAAACGGATCATGGAATTAAGTTCAGCTTAAAAAAGTAGTTAGAAATGATGCGTCACAACACCCCCTTTATATTTAAAATAATTTATCACATTTTAAAATGGCGGATCCAAGATGGCGGCCGAAAAAATACATCAGTCATAACCAAGTGAAAATAGGTCGACAATTAATTACTGGTAGTGTATACTTTTCTTTATCTAGCACTATTTTGAGATTATGGTCTTAGTTTGTAAATGCACAATGTTGAAATGGGCTAAAAATAAAGTTTTGAAAAACCCTCATAACTTGAGAATGAATCAAGATTTTTTAAAAATGTTTGTGGCATTGTAATCAGGGTAAAAATCTAACTCGAAATAATGGGTCACAACCTCACCTTTACATTTTAAAAAAAAATTGGCATCCAATATGGCGGATCCAAGATGGCGGCCGGAAATGACCACCTTGTCAAAACGAAGTACCTACTACCCAAAAAGTTTTGGAAGTGGTCTGGGTTTGATATATGTACTAGAGGTTTCTATCTTAATCCAGTAAAAAATGGAAGCTGATTGAAATCTTTAGAAATCGGAAATAACTTGCAATTTTATATTCAATTGGCTGCCATATTTTACTGTGTTAAGATATCTACCTATAGTTTGCGTTGTTAGTTTTCTTTTATTATGACCTTCAAAATGAGGGGTCACTCGATGGGGCTTATCATTTAACATTTTTGAGTTTCCACCAAAATCCCCCATTTTGGGTTTGGGAACTTATGAGAATTTCAATTGGCTGCCATTTTGTACTGAACTGAGATAGAGACCTCTAGTTTGCGTTGTTGGGTTTCTTTTACCAGGACCTTCAAAATGAGGGGTCACTCGATGGGTCTTTGTATTTTAAAATTTTTAGTTTCCCCCAAAATCCCCCATTTTGGGGATGATCACCAAATGGCGGTTATGCCCAAAAAGTACTTCATAACATGCCATAATGGTGTGCCGAGTTTAGTTTTTCTAGTATGGGCCGTTAAAAAATAACAGGGGAGTCTCCACACTTTTTACCAACCCTGTATAGTTCTTTTTGTACTCAGACGTTCCTTGTACATAGTAAGTCCCAAGTAAAAAGGATTGTTTTGAGCTATTTGGGTGCTCGGAGCTATTTATGAAAATATGAGTAAACCAAGCTACAAAAAATGTGTCTTGGGGCTGATTATATGTTGAATACAATCGAGTTTTTGAATAAAATAGTTATGGGTTTTTGTTACGAAACTAAGACCTACCTCCTAGAATCCTACGCATTTTTAGATGCAGCCCACGGTCCTCTTTTGATACATCCTTAGGTGCACTGGTTGTTGCAACATCCTTCAAATTATTACAATAATTCCGTAGTAAATGGTTGCGGCACTCGATTTTCTTCACCTTTAGGTTGTTGTAGGGATTGGCATCGAGAACACTATTGTAGACACTGCTATCTCCATCCGCAATCATTCTAAAAACGTTTTGTCTATTAGTTTATAATTTAGGATGATTTTAAGGGCAATTGGTTAGGGTTATCACACTTAATAAATTGTTTTAAATTGTTTAAAATGCTATGAGCCAAATGCTATACTACTAAATAAAAATACCAGTAATGTTGATAAACATTAAAAGTTATTATTATGGGTTACTTTTTACGTTACGACGGGTGCTATGCTAGTAATAAATAACTAGAACATGCCAAGTTGTAAATATTGTCAATAATATACCTTGCATATTGGACGTTATACATTTCTTCACTTGCCAAGAATCCTTCTACAATGGTTGCAGCTTCCATGCTGGATGAGCTACCATTCCAATTTTTGAAGCAAGTGTGTTTTGTGTTTTCAGGATTGCGTGCACAGGTGACACAGTATTTATTTTTAACTCCAAAGTACAAAACTTGTCGAGTATGGTATCCAACGATGGCCGCCTAAAATAAGAAATTCATAACATTAAAATTTTTACGAGTTTTAGTACAAATATTATTTTTAACTCGAAGTATGTGCTTTTATATTACGTAATATGTGTATTATTCGGTTCAATTTTCATTCATGATTTTATAATAATAGACATAAAATTGAACAAGTCAATTTTGAGAAATAGATTATGCTTCACTTATGAGATAACAATTGTTCAATACTTTTTATCACTTACCGGTACTTTACTTTTTATGTTTATAATAAGATGGTTTGTACTAATATAATTTAAAGATACTATAAGCGTCAAGTTCTATTTGTATTAATTAGTGAGAATTTATTAGTAATAACACTTACCATTCCTGATAGGGAGTTGTAGTTTCTCCTGTATGACCTCTTTGCCCAGCTTCCGTCAGCAACAACTGTCAACAAAGGAACCCCTTCTTTGTTGACGTCGCCACGTTCTTTAGCTAGGCGGATTTCTTCTTCGGCTGCCTTTGCCATCTCTTGTACAGCAGTTTCCTCCCAACCTTTCGAAATTAGTTCTTCATGTTTGTCATACGTTTTCCGGTTCATGGCACGAACATTCATTGCAGACAGCAGCCGTTCTAAGGCGACAAATCCTCCGCCATTGGTAATAGAACCGGCTACTGCTGCACTGTTTATGTCCATTGACATTGCATTTTCCCGAGGTTCAGGCTCACTCCATATTTTCTGTTTGATGTGGCACATGTTGCAATCAAACACAAACCCACTCCTAAGCCCTCTTTTTATTTCATTAACTAATTTCAGGTTTCTGAGGGAACAGCCAAATTGAGGCGCATGTTCACTTAGTTGGACAAATTGATCAACTAAATAACAAATGTCAACTATTCTACGACCGGTAATATCACAGTTGCCCAAACAGTCAGTAGGATCAGATGGCGTGGAATTGTCTACAATTAGAGGTAACAAATTTCCATCCTCTTCCCCACAGCTCATCGCCTCATCAGCAATCAGCTCCTCAACATCACTACTTAGTTTTCTTTTTCTACTTCCCACAACACCAGAATCTCTCAACACTCTCCACTCAGCCAACCTTTCACCACCTCTGTTTTTCACCTTTCTTCGCAACGGTCGTTTTTTATTTCCCATGACACCACACAAAAACCACACACGTGAATAAATAGATACACACGAAAAAACTTGTTACATTTGTAAGTAAGTAGCACTACGAATTATTACTAGGGAACTCTAAACGACACTGGACTTGTGGACACAGCAGACCAATTAGGTTGCTATCCTAGAACATAACCTCACAGTTCACAATAATGTCTAGGATGGAATTGGCGCGAAAATAAGAAATACAAGGTGTAGGGGGGGGGGGTAGTGTAGTGGGGTCTTGGGTGGGGCGAGTGCAATGTGTCTCGTGGTTACAGTGTGTACGGCCGAGACGTCGACCAAGGTGGGAGGGGGTAGGTAGCTAGCTATCTATGCTGTGATCGACCTAGAGGCTTAGGAGATTGCGTTCCCCACAGATATCCATCATGTCTCGGTGGTGTAGTGGTTATCGCACCGGAAATATGTCTTAAAGGTTCCGGTTCGAAACCTCTGGGTGTACAAACTTTTTGATTCAATTTCTTAATTATCGTTATAGCTTATAGTTTGGTTAGGTTATGACGGTTTGATTTTATAACTATAAATTATATAATTGAATTTGAGGCATTTAAAATTTTATTTTATAAACAGAACAATTTTTATACCAGCAGACTAATTCGTTCTAATGCATCTGTAAATATTAGTTAAATTATGAAATTTGCCCGTTATCACATGAAACGAATATAATTTAATGCCTTAAATGTATATATTGTATTTAAACATTTTCTATTTCTACTAAACTGTATCTCATTTCCAATCATTGCGTGGGACAGAAGGGCTCTGGAATTTCATTTATATTGATTGTACACATGTTGGTTTTGTACTTATAACATCTATAACTAAGAAATAGTATTTATAAATTGACAACATATTTAATACGAGTATTCAAATTTAAAATGTATTCAACACCACAGCATTTCTCTCTGTCCCCCAATTCCTTTCTTTCAATAACTATACTATGACAACAATAATCATAACAATAATTTCGTAACAATATTTGTTTCACATTAAATAAAAAAAAAATTATAAAATTAGCAGCGCATGATGAATGTAGAATCATAAAAACCTGATTTGAACTCCCGCCAAATGCGCGAGCGTGCTGCTATCTAACGGAGATCTGCCAGACTACTACGCCGAATTACCGCCGCGACGCGCAGCAAAAACATGCATTTTCTTAAACCATATCACGTGCACAGTTTACGTCGGATCTTCTTGAAACAAACTTTATTCGATAGATAATTAAATTTTGTAGGGGGTTTGCTTTTTCGAATTTCAAATATTCCTTTAGAAAATTCTCCACAAATTTGTAAACTTAAACAAGCGTATTTTTGCTATAATTATTTTAATATTTCTTTAATCGAAAAAATAAAAAGCAAACCCCCTGTAGAATTGTATCCTCTTTCCAATGACACATCAAACGTAGTTCTATGTTAAAAAATAACGGCGCTATATGGTTCAAAAGATTACATTGTTCTTATGGGGCATCAATCCAATATGGCCGACTGCTACTGCCCACTCTTAAATGTTCTTTACAGTTCTCTCTAGACCTAAATCAATGATTTTTGTAGCGATATGTGTCCGTAAAGTTGTTTTGATGGACAAAAAATGGCAAAATTACCTATGAATTTAAGTAAGTTTAGTAAGTTTACCTATGTTTTTCTAAGTTTAGGTTCTGCTGAATCTTTAAGCACGTAGAAGTTGAACATACATGTTGTTAACAGGTGAACTAAGAACTGCATTTGAAAACTACACAGACATCAAGTTTGGTCTTTACCACTCCCTGTATGAGTGGTACAACCCGCTCTATCTGGCTGACAAGGCAAGAAACTTCACCAACTTAGGCCCAGTAAACTTTGCAGACTCAAAAATATTTCCAGAAATGGTTGAATTGGTAAGAGATGTTTTTATTTCACTCGAAAACTGATTAAACATCCTTTTACGTCCATGAATACATAGCTAATTTGTTTAGGTAGCAACTAGAAATAAGAAAACAACATTGACTTTGTATCTAATTTATTTGGGTAGTAGTAAATATTGGTAAATTAACTGTAAAGTTAGTCAAAGCAAAGTAACACAAATGAAGTCTACAAATAAGATGGACGCTGTGTCCAACTACACGGTAAAACAGGCTTTACTTAGTTTATAGAATAATCTTTACAAGTCTGTGTGGCACTACATTCATACCTTTGTGCACCGGTGCACTGTTACCCTATTTTAATGACATTGGTATGGTAAAAATGTAAAATGAAATTCCATGAAATATTCTTTATTGCCTTTTGAATTTTTACAAATTACAGTAAAACCTTACCTTACTAACTCAAAACTCGGTAACTCGACAGTCCTCGAAACTCAACAGTCAACAGCTGACAGGATTCACGTGGCTTAATCGTGTTATTGTTTTAGAATTTCAATATTTCTTTGAAAATTGTTTACTTAATATTTTTAGATTCTCATGTAAGTAATAAATTTATACTGTATGTACAAATTTGTCAGTTATGTACATTCATTTATTAAAACCCATTACAAATTTCAATGTTCTGAATAACTCGACAACCTTGGGTCCAGAAAATTGTGGAGTTAATGAGGTTTTACTGAATTCATTGAAGGAAAAGGGACGAACAAATAACTAACTACCATAACAAAATATTCACACTACGCTTAGCTGGATATATTGCCTATTCAACATGTAATTTCTCCTTAGCAAAGTATGGTTTTCTGTGTTGCGAGTTTTTTAATGTGATTACAGCATTTTTCCAAGTCCACTTGAAAGAGCAAAACTAACTAGCTAAGAAAAGTGTACCAGGCTGTTAACAGTACACAAAATCTACAGGACATAATAAACCTAATAGCCAAGTGGTTAAATAGTGCACGCCTTCAAATTTGAAGGTTGCTAATTCGAATCCAAGCGAGATTGTTTCCAGACCCAGATGCCATTTGTCAGCATGAATTAATGATGCTAAATAAGGTTGACGTTATATAATAACAATACCAGAGTTTGGACCGTTTCCTTTCAAAACGTAAAAAATACCACTGCGTAAAAACACACAAAATAAAAGTATTTTGCCTTTCCGATAAGGCTTCTGAATAATCTGAAATTTTGATTGAACTTTTGTTTTTTTAAATGAGTTAGCTCGGTATTGTTATATGTACTGGCCAAGGGTTGTAATCGTCCAAACAACTCTTCCTAATCACAGAATGTTTTATTTTAATGTTCCCAGGTAGAGCAGTACAAACCGCATGTTTTCTGGTCTGACGGAGAGTGGGAAGCACCCACAAGCTACTGGAAATCTCTGGAGTTTCTGGCTTGGTTGTACAACGAGAGTCCAGTTAGAGACACGGTCGTTGTCAATGACCGCTGGGGCCATGACACCCTTTGTAAACATGGGGGCTTCCTCACTTGCGCCGATCGCTTTAATCCAGGTGCGATAATAGTGCAAAACTGGATATCTTACAGTTACAGATTCCCATTTCATCCCCCTGACCATCTATTGGGTTAAACATTCTTCATTATTGAATAACACAAAAAAAACCAGTGAAGTAATAGTGAAGTTCTAAAAACCAATCATACTTGTAACATTTGTTTAGTTTCATAGAGTTCATTGGTTTCAATATGGATGATAAATATAATATTTTTATAGAGATAAAAACTTTGGAAATCTCAAAATGTAATTCTAACAACAATTTCAGGCTTCCGTTACTAAGAAAAGAATAAGTCTCTTATCTGAAATTAATTCTTATGCCAAGGGAAACTTACCCCATTGATATAGGGTAAATAAAATGGTTTTGTAACATTTCAGGAAAGCTTCAAACAAGAAAGTTTGAGAACGCTATGACCATCGACCGCAAGTCCTGGGGATACAGAAGAACTGCCAGCCTATCTGATTACCTAACAATTAATCAGCTGTTGGTAACCCTTACAACTACTGTTAGTTGCGGAGGTCAGTATATGAATAGATTGAATTTTTATCTATTTATTATATAATTGTTTTTATCACATCCTAGAAACTAGACTTCTCACAGAACACCACAAAGGAAAAAAGGTTTTTACCGTTTTTTTTACACTCCATAACCCATTTTCGCACTTTACCTACACTCATTGCATTAGGGTCATAGCACGGCCTCCTTTAACTACAGGCCGCGGCCAGCGAGAATTGGCAACGTCGCACTGAGCATTAACTCCCGGCCATTTCACCATTACGGTAGTACGAAACTAGTGGTCGCGGTTTAAATATACTGCATTTTTACACCCTTACAATTGAGATAACATTTTGAAATTTTGTACAGGGCTAGGGAATAAACCCTTCATACCAATGGTATGGTTTTGAAAATTAACATTTCATTTGGTAGTACATATATATATTTTTAAAATTAACACATTAGAAAATTTTTGGAATAGTGAAATGAAAAAGTTAGTCGCCTACTAAAATTTTTGTTTGTTGGTCAGAGAAGTTTCGTCTGTGAGAAAGTTGTAGATAATTAAATATACTTTAATTTTTGTATTTAACTTTTCTTTCTATCATGTTTGTTTTGTTAAAATTTTGGGTTGAACAGAGTGACCAAATCTCAGTTTTATGGTGCGGCGCGGCGAGTAGCGCTGCTCGCAACTGTATTGTTTGTAGTATCACATAGCTAATAATTAATTAATGTAGGCCAACTGAATTATTTCAAGCATTTTAATATGCCTTTTGGTTATCCACAAGAATATTACTTTTGTATCAAATACTGCACGACTTAATGTCTTCATAATTAAATACCGTAGCCTAAAACAAAAATGCCTTTTCCTTTTAGTTTTAATAATTTTGCTGTAGTTTATTATGAATTTTAAGTATGAGTTTTATTTACACGTTATTATGTAGTATTATGAGAAATAAAAACATTACTTCATTCATTCTGTTATTGCGCAGCCATTAATAACTAATCCATTGATAATGTTCTTGCAACAGACAATCGGAAGGTGGGGCTACCGAAAACTTTTAATTTAGCGCTCATCAACCAATAGTGGCGTGGCGACCACCATCTTCATTGAATTAGGTGGAATTAGCGAATAACTAAAATTAGCGACAACCTGTACCTATAATTAGCGTGCAGTTGTTCTTCTGTGTTGGCTGGTTTTTAGTGACCAGTGGTTTTTATGTCAGATATCGATATTTTAGAAATAGCTGAAACTGTTTGCATTTGTGGAATGAATAATTTGAAGGAAATAGTATCAAAAATTATTTTGAGAATGAGCAATATTTTTTAAATATCTACACGATAGTAAAAAAGACTAAAATAATAGCCACTGTAACCATTGAAAAATGTCAATCCTTTCTTAAATAAAATAATTGTATTTATTGCATTTGTTAATTTTTACTTTGTATAGTAAACGTCATCATTCCAATGATAAAACGATAGCTTACACAGAAGCTGTAACTAAATAACATTGCAGATAGGATTTACATTTTAAGTGTTTAACAATTAATAAATCATAGAGTAAATACGTAGAAGAGACGGAAGAAAACTACAATCATGCTACTTATACGTTCAATCATGTTCAATGTACCGTAAAAGGTTTTAATAAATATTGTATTACATTCTTGTATTGACACGAAAGCCTCACATAGTTATTTACTTTTTTCCTACACATCAGTGTTATCAGATATAAAACATCTAAATTAATAGATAATTCGCGTGCTTGTTCCAATCCTCCGGTGTGGTGTAGCGTAACTTAGCCATCCAGCCATCCGATGCGGTGTTGCCACTTCGAACGCCGCGGCCTGTAGTTAAAGGAGGCCGTGGTCATAGTCATCTGGCGATAAATTTCGACATCAGATATGTTTCTTGTAATCAAAAAATGTATCACTGACCAATCAGTAGATTGGTCATTGTTTACACTTTGCTGTAAAGCGTATGGACTTGCACGGAGCAGATTTTTTGTTTAAAAACTATACAGGAAAGCATACACGTCAGCTACAGAGCTGCAAATGGTGTCATTCTGTTAACAAATGATGCCAGTAAGTGGCGAAGAGCCTTGTTGCAGCGTTCAAGCAAATTACAGATCCATAAACGACTCAAAAATATACCCTCAACTGGGGTGATTTTATTTATCACGCTAAATATTCAATATTACACTTTGTTCATAAATTTTTAGTTTGGTATACTCACTTTCTTTTCAAGAAAAATTGTTTTTTACTCGGAATGGGTAATCTGTATCAAAACTGTCTATTCAAAATGTTGTATACTTTGGAATTGCAAAAGACTAAAATAATTTATTTCTGTTTATACTTTTTAGGAAACGTCCTGGTGAACATTGGGCCTACCAAGGACGGGATAATTCCGCCCATTTACGAAGAGAGGCTGCTTCAACTGGGATCTTGGATGAAGGTGAACGGAGAAGCGATCTACAGCTCAAAACCTTGGATTGTTTGCCAAAACGATTCTTTGACACCAGGAATCTGGTACATACAGTTTATTATCATGAAGGTTATTTTAGTTTGTAAATTTATCACAAAGTAAAGCATACGACATTTGAACAGTGTCAGTATTCACTTAAATATTACCATTAGAAACAAAACTGTTTCCATTCCCTGATTCTAATAATCGAGAGAGGTGGGAAGACCCTATAAAGAATTGATTACGGAATCTTTTAGTTTTGATTTAAACAACGCAATTACATTATTTCTAATATTTTTGGTGTTAAATTTTAGAACCTTTTCATTGTAAACTGTTTTGCAACATGTTCTTATTCTGTGTTTCACGCTAATGTATAGGTTGGTTGGATAAAATACAATGACAAATGTTTTATTTTCACAGTTAAATTCAAGTCAGTCAAAAATATATTGCCTATATCCTAGAGTTCTACTGTTTTAACTGTTAAAAGAGTCGCCTTATTTTAATCAGAGCGTTACAAAAACTGTATTTTTTTAATCTCAATTTATTTTAGTTGTTGCACCAAACAGACAGAAACCAAAATAAATGTAAGCAAAATTTACATTACCCAATGTACTTGTGTTTTTTGTATGTGGTTCAAGATTGAGGTAGGTGGTTCTTATTTGTTTCAGGTACACAACAAACAAAGACAAAACCGTCTTGTACGCTACATTCTCTCCGTGGCCAGTGGACAACAAATTGAAGATGAGCTGTCCAGAGTTCTCTGCGGAAACTACGATTGAGCTGTTGGGATTGAGAGGAAAACTATCTGTAAGTTAACCAAAATATTCCTAGTCTTCGTTAAAAGGTTTTGCTATTTATTCTGAGATGATTGAAACCAAAGTTTTCTGGACGGCTACTTGATTTTGCGCTGGGTTATTTTGAGCATGACTATAACTCTAATTGAGCTATGGTTATTCTTGTAGTGATCACATGTCTAGAGTTAAAAAAAAAATTGAGTGAAGGTTGGTTGTAGCACTTAAGAATCTACCTCTAAAATATTGTATTTTTACTTTACAAAGTCATGAATAAGGGATAAAACCAAAAACATATAGTACTTACAAATTGATGAATGATATTGAAGTATCAATTTATTGTTGAAGAATTGTTATGTTAGATTTAGTTTTAGATGTGCCAACACGGCAGACGACCAAGAGGTCATTGCTGTAGCACCTAAGCACGTTCCTTGGGTGGTACAAACTTTCAGTTATTTCCTAATATCCTAGACAACACAAATATTTTCTTCATATAAACTGAGTTTAGCATATTGCCTCAATTAAGGGTAAACTCTACAAAATATAATAATTATTTTATTTCAGTATTCCTATCCAACGGACGTAGTGACAGGCAGACTTGTGGAGATTCAACTTCCAGACAAAGCCAGAGTGGCCAGTGAGTGGGTCTGGACACTCAAGATGAAGGGAGTCAAGAATTTGCAGGAAAGTTATGAGACTGTTAGCGAAAGAGAGTTCGAAGCGGGAATTACCGTCAAATCAAACGGCTTCCAACAAATGCTTAGGGAAGTTCTAAGATAGGATTTTTTTACGTTTGGGTAAAGTAGTTTTTGTAGCTTTTGTAATCAGAATATAAATTACATTTTTAGAAAATGTGCATAATTTATCCCCCTACATGATCAGTTTATTGTGCGCTTATACAGAAACAGAAGCATATGTCTTCACACTTATTTTTTTCAAGGATTACACGATACTGTAAAAATAACATTAACATAACATTATTTTGCTTAAAATTCTTCCACAATATTTTGGAAGAGACTGGACCCTTCTAAGCCTGCATGAGTGAGTGGTAAATTATTAGACAGTAAAGAGGCATTGGGAAAAACTTTTATTTTAGCGAATTTCCCTATAGGGAAGTAGCTATTACCGTAGGTGGCACGGTAAGACCAAGAACCGGGGGCCGATTTACTTTTTCATTTTGATGTCCCCAGAGGCCAAAAACACTATTTGTTCAAATTTTTATATATGTATATATATATATATAAATAAAGATTAAACATTAATAAACTTAGTACCCAAGTAAAATTATTTATTAAAATATTTACTGACTATAGTTTCGGCTCTAAGGCCATTTTCAAAGTAAACAAAAATCAAAATAAGATATGTAAATAAACAAATAACATATGATATTATAAAACTTTTCTAACTTGTAACATAATTGTAACAATATATGAAACAATAACAAAATTGAGAAAATATTAATGAAAATAAGTACAACACATCATATAGTATGTAAATTAATCAATGAAAACAAAATTATGTTACAAGTTAGAAAAGTTTTATAATATCATATGTTATTTGTTTATTTACATATCTTATTAGCGAATTTCCCTATAGGGAAGTAGCTATTACCGTAGGTCTCATGGTAAGACCTAAGCCCGGGACCGATTTACTTTTTCATTTTGATGTCCCCAGAGGCCAAAAACACCGTTCGTTCAAATTTTTATATATCTATATATAGAGATATATATATGTGTCCATCCGCACGATAACTTGAGTAATTTTTGTCCGATTTTGATAAAATTTGGTTTGAAGGTGTAAGGCGGGATAAACTTGAATGAGTTCGCGAACCAGCATAATCGGACTATGGGAACGGGGGTTTATGGGGGGTTTTATGGGGTAAAAATAGGTTTTTCCCATTTTTGACCCTAAAAACACAAAATTTCACAATTTATTTTTAAACCATTTTGTAGAGCTTAAAAAAACAAATAATTTAGTATATTGAAGCGTTATTATGCGCCTAATTGTTACGGAGAAAATTCAAAGAAATTGTAATTTTAAAATTCCCATGTTATTCTTATGGAGAATAATAGTCAACTGTTGTAGTTTGCTTGTTTATGAACATATTTTGATCAAATTTGGAAAATACATTAATTTCTTACTAAACCACAGTACCTTTTAATATTTTACATTAAAAAAAACTTTTTTACCCTCCCTGTTGCAGCAAACCTAAGTACTCATTAAACTAATTATGTTAAAATAGGGAATAAATGTGATATTTTAAGGAGACATTTTAGTTTAAATCCAATCAGGCAGATGGAAATTCGCTAAGTCTGCAGGTTTGCTGCGGCGGGGGTATTTTGATTTTTGTTTACTTTGAAAATTGCCTTAGAGCCGAAACTATAGTCAGTAAATATTTTAATAAATAATTTTACTTGGGTACTAAGTTTATTAATGTTTAATCTTTATTTATATATAGTAGCCCTATTTTTCTATTTTGCATATATATATATATATATACGTCCGTGAACGCGATAACTTGAGTAATTTTTGTCCGATTTTGATGAAATTTGGTTTAAAGGTGTAAAGCGGGATAAACTTGAATGAGTTCGCGAACCAGCACGATCGGACCATGGGAACGGGGCTTTACGGGGGGTTTTATGGGGTAAAAATTGGTTTTTCTCACTTTTGACCCTCAAAACACAAAATTTCCTAATTTCTCTTTAGACATTTTTAAAGAGCTTAAAAAAACAAATAATTTAGTATATAAAAGTATTTTTGTTCGATTATTAGTAACGGAGAAAATTTAAAAAATTGTAAATTTAAAATTCCCATGTTATTCTTATGGAGAATATTGTCAAATGTTGTAGTTTGCTTGTTTATGAATATATTTTGATCAAACTTGGCAAATTTATTTATTTGGTACTAAGCTATCAATATTTTACTCAAAAACACACTTTATTAGTTTCCTTGTAGCAGCAAACCTAGGTAATCGTTAAACCTAACGTTATTAAAATATATTTAACTGAAAATAAATTCAGACAAATGGAAATTCGCTTAGTCGGCAGGTTTGCTGCGGCGGGGGTATTTTAGGCAATCTGTGTCCCATTAAAATTAAATCCAAGTGCTTACAAATTAAACCTCAATTCACAAACTTCACAGGAAATATTCCGTTGAACTATCCTTTTTACTACTGTACAGTACATGAAGGTCAATAATAGACATTCAACAATAAAAAATTGTTTACTATACATAAAAATATACAGTTGCTCACATAGTGTTGTTGGCTTCAACAGTAAAGGCATGGACCCAGTGGAATTGAGGCCAGATGTTGAACTGGGACAGATTATGGTAACTTCCTGCACAAATGAAGTGAGAATTATAGTACATATTTATTTATTTCAAAGAACAAAAGTGACTATATTTAAACTGGTTTGACGTCCTCGCCAAAAATAAAAGCAGTATTTTTACCACCTATCTGTAAGAGCAAGGCTCATTTTAAAACTTTCATTCTACAAGTTTTACAGAAACAATGTATTTCCCAGCAAAGAGACCAGGGACTTGTGTTTTGTTTTAACAGATTTTATATAACCTTGTCAATTACAGTAGAACCTAGATAAGAAGTCTCTCATGGGAAATCTGTATAAATAAAATTACAGTTTTGTCTGTACATTGCTTAGAATTATGCATTTTTTGGTTATTTTTATGTTTCATAGCCTAAGAAAGCCGAAACGAGTCTTATCTCAATTTCTGTCTGTATGTCCATTCTGTGACTCCGTCTGTAACGCCAAATTGTCATTTTACGCGGCCTACTCCTAGAAAACTAGAGTACCAATCAAGGTTCTAATCGTTTTTCTATATTTACTGGATTGGTGTGAGTGTCTTTGGCTATAAAAACATGGCCTCGCTTCTTTGAAAACAAAATAACTAACCACCAAAAACCCAATTTTGTTCGATTTTTGTCAAATTTTCTCCCAATGTTTACTATTACATTTTATGAAATAACGATCAGCTGTTTGGATTAGTTCTCACTTCTAGCTGTCACTGATATGTATGTTTACATTAAAAGTTGTTTACAAATACCGCAACCATTTCCGATCAAGTTTAGTCAGCACATTTAAACCAAGTGAGATTAAAAACGTTGTGCCTTACTTAACCGGTTTAATTAATCGCAAGTGCAACCATTGTTCTTGAGTTTTGATAACCGGGGAAAATACCGTGAATCAGTGTTGTATTAGTGCAAGGAAACTTACATTTTTTTAATCATCGGCACCAATACCGTAGCTTACAAAGGTTTCCACTCATTGACGGCGCTTCAAGGACAGTTGTGTAAAGTGCAAAGTAAAAAATCACAACTGCAGTGGGTGATCGTGGATGTTGCTGCGATCTTGGAAGATCTGTCTGATTTCGCTGTGATCGTACCGTAACGGAGGTTTAACTTAACAGATGTAGCTGTAAAACTCGCTTTTCCAATGTGTCACTTTTGGTTTCTACTTACTTACATTTCAACAACGATATCGGTAATTTTCCTACTTAGGAAATAAAACTACAAACATACAAAACCCCAGATTTGTGCGTTTTTTGTCAAATTTCCTCCGAATGTTTGCTAGATATATGTACCTACCGATTATCGTTTAGCGATTACGTAATCTTTTAAATGAGAAACCTTTGTTTGGATAAAGGTGGTTTCTTCAAACTGCCATTAATATGTTAACATTAAAAGCTGCTTACAAATAATGCTATTAAAAGGAAATAACTTTGATTTTTGAAAACTAAAAAAAAAAATTTAAAACCAAAGGAGATTAATAACTTCGGTACTGCACCACATCATGTGAAAGTTTTTTTAGCAAACCATAGTAAGTTTTTAAAGCTTTACGTTGTTAATGTTACATGTTTTGTGGCCTGTGTATTTATTTATTTATATATTTGCCAACAGATTAATTAACACCTATAATACAGTTTGATTAGAAGGACAGTTTGAATTAGTCGTAAGTACTACAGTTCTTTTCTCAAATGTAAACGTTGGTTTTTGGTACTGCTACTTTTCCTTAGAACCGGTGGTAGCAGTAAGAATAATTTTTACATACAAACACATCACTATTTTCATTTTCACTATTTATTTATAAACACTGCACCTTATTGCTTATTAAATTTAATTGATGTCTTACTGTATAATTTTTAGCGTTTTCTGTCTCGACTCAAAAAAGTTGTGTGGACTCAATTCTGTATTTGTGTGTGTATGTCTGTTGGTAACACAATAATGTCCTTATTTTTCGTGGAAAAGACAAGAGCACCATTGCTAATAACAATTTCGACCCGAATAAAGTGTGCAGTAGTGAAGTTGAGGTAGTGTTTTAACTACTTTTAACCAGTGTGAAAGTAACTTTCAATTACAGGCCTACCTTAGGGCTATGCCTCATAGATCTATACTGTAAAGCAATTCCTTTCATCGTTTGATATAAAATATGGACTAACACGATCGGGTGACATTTAATTGCGAAGCATTCGTTTTGGCTTTGAAACTGTCAGATATTGTATTTGAGAAGGTTTATATGTATTCCTAAACAGTTAATAGTTTTGCCATCATATCTGGAAAAATGCACAGTAAATATGCAAACCAACTCCTGTTCTGAATATAAGGTTTTAACTTACTACTAGATTCCCGTACGTAGAACGGGGAAACAGCTAGTCATTAAATAAGACTTGTTATCAAGATTGACTTCTTATAGCTTCCCATTAGCAGCAACATGTGATAAGGGGTAATATACAATTATGGGTATTTATTTGAAAATAACACTTGTTATTGAAAGGCTTGTTATCAAGGTTCAAATAAAAAGCTGTTTTTTTTCTCCAAAAAAGTTGTTCAATCAACTGAGCAAAGTTTACTCAAAATGATATTAGGCCTATATGATATACATGGTTTTTAATTTCTATATCCACAGTACATGAGTGAGTAGGCAGGATTTAAAGCCCCTGGTTTGAATTGTTTAATTCAATATTATACAGGGTGATTTTATTAAAGATCTGATAATTTTGACATGATGAGCAAGTAAAAGTATAGAATTAAATATGTACCAAAGTTCATCACGAGACGCTGATGACAAAATTCTGCCTGGCAGTGTCCGATGGCTGGAGAGTAGTAGGTTTTGCTTCTTCTGTGTTTCCGTCTCCAGCCATGGAGCCAGCCAACAGCATTTCCATGGCACCCTGCAGCGACAGTAGTGTGTCTGTCAGTTCTTCTTCTTCTCTCAGCTTCTTGGCCAACCTTACAAACAGCTGGCAAGCCTCGGGTCCGACATCACTCAAATAGTCACCGTAAATGTCTGGGACAGTGATCAATTTTATCTTAATATAAAATAAATAATATATACAGTGTGATTGAAAAGTCCCGGAACGGTGAACTATATTCTTTACCATTATAGATTAAGTAATGGGATTTGGTATATAATAATAGCCATAAATGTCTACTCTTTTAAGCTATTTTCACTATGTCATCCCTTAGGGGGATGCCCACGAGGAGTCAGACGAAATTCTTAAATAGCAGCATAGAACAAGTTTGGTATCAAATTAAAGGTCTCAATTACTAGAACACATTGCCACAAACCCGAACTCGATCGGACAACCGAGTCAAAAATAGCAGCCATTTAAATAATCTTCAAAAAGCTGCAATATTTTACACAGTTGTATTTTTGGGCTCAAATTTGCGGCATTGTATTCTTAATATGACTTCAATATGAAATCACATGGAGTTTGTATGCATTTCTTGCGTTCTAGAGGTTTTTTTTCGGACTACTGTATATAACTCATTTTAATTGGATATAACAGTTTATTAGGAAAATATTTCCTTTTGTCTGCTGCTAAAACAGAACAAAGCACAAAGAGTAAACAAATCAACAGAAACATTGGGTCAACATCAGCGCACGGCACATACATCAAAACAGGTTTCAAATTTTAGAATAAAATGAGAAGTCTACTGGCACTGAATCAATGGTAATATTTACCTAGTAATGTGTCAGCCACTACAATAAGAACCCTTGTAAATCGGTAGTCTCCGATGTATCTAATGATGAATCGTAAAATAGACGAGAGAGATTTGCCGTCCCTCCCTGCCAGAGCGTTTCCTAAACCTCTTCGCCTGAAATAATAATAAATGATCAGTGAAGGGCAAGATACCTTTGCATGGCGACAGAGATATATCTAAACATTCAATACCCACGAGAAAGTTGAGACTAGGTCTAGAATAAAATAACAAAAATGCAATTCAAATATTCCAACTTTTAAACAAGTTTAACTGTAAGACAACTAAGGTATAGAATCTTTTACATGACATCAACAAAACCTAAAAGAGAAAATATAATTTTAGACTGAAGTTTGTACAAATTATAGCCATTGTTAATAAAGATTATTATTAACAAGATCTTTATTAATAATAAAGATTTATTATGATTTTTAGGTCCAAAGCAGTTCACAATACCTAATCACCCTAATAAGCCACATGGCTTTCATTTAACATAAGATCCATGGTCTTTATCTTCCTTACGATAAAATGTAATTAAGTGTAATTAATTTTTAAACATGAATTTAAATTCCTAATGAAAGGAATAGAGTTCTGTAAGCTTACCTGGAAAAAATAGGGACTAATAGATTAGATAACAACGTAGTAAGAAGACAAAATATATTACTAATATTTTGTCCTAATATATAGCGTACATTTTTTCTCTCAAATTTTCTCGGGTAAGCTAGTTGAACCCTATTCCTTAAAAATGTCATAACCAACCACATGGCTTTCCTTTAAGTTAAACATATAATTTACTAATACATAGTTTTAGGATAAGAATAGGGCCTATAAACAAAGCTTCAATCACTTACAACATAACACAGTGTTAAAATAAAACCACAGAGGTTAATATGCAAACCTTGATAGTTCCTGGAATAGTGCAACAGTGACGTGGGGTGTTTTGTTGACAACGTAAGGAACCAATACACTGTCGAGTGCCTTGGAGTACTCAAATTTTCGGAGATGTGCATCATATTTGGTCTCTTTCACCTGTGAAACAAGTTTGACCCATCAAACAAAATGGAAAATCACATATTATGTGATTTAAATTATAGAGGGAGAAGAATAATTGTAATTTCAAACACAAATCAGAAATGTTAACTACATTACATCAGTATAAGACAAAATATAACACATTTTGGTAAAAGACAAATGAATACAGTAGACTCCCTCTTATCCGGACTCCTTGGGACCAGGGCCAGTTTGGATAGCGGGTTTTCCGGCTAAACCGACGTCCATAAAAACTCGTTAAAACGGACCATTTAAATGCATATTGTATTCAGTATTTGACTTTGATTTAAGAGATCATTGTATTTAGACACGTGATCACTGGTCTCAAAAAGTACCGCCCACTTCCTTTGCTGATGAAGAGTGTCCGGTTAAAGAGATGTTGTTTCCGCTGAGTGAAGTTTGGCTAAACCGATGTCCGGGTAAGAGGGAGTCTACTGTACAAAGTTTTTTTAAAACGGTGTTCTAAATAGGTTTAATTCATACAAATTGTTATTAACAGATATTGGAGGTCTACTTTAATTTATAAAAGCCAATGATTAGACCTAGAGTTACATCATTAATCTTGTTTTATATCAAATTAATAATTGTAATCCATCCTACCTTAGTCTGGTGGGGAACGATGATTTTATTACTGGCGGACAGAATGGTGTCCTGGGCCAGGTTGTTTGAAGGTAGGAAGTCTCCGACGTTACGATACATCACTTTCTTGCGCCGTGCAGCTGCCGGAGCCGGTCCCTCCTCTCTCCTGCGTATCGACACCAGTCCGTCGACTGTACCGGCTACAACTGTGGCATCTCTTTGCTGTGAACATGTAATCACTTAATTGCTTGATTAGTTACATTCAGGTACTTTTTATTTATCAATTATGTCAGTATTTTATGTACAATTTCAAAGTTATAAAAATATCTCAAAGATAAATTCAAAGTTTGATTCAACAAATTCTTAAAAAAACTATCCTTAATTAAGACACTTTTTTACTACTGTATGACACAGATTGTAATTCATTAACAACTAGTTGAACTGAATAACCTTCTCAAACAATGAGAATAATAAATCCAAAAGAGATAATATCAACAAGTGTCAACAGCTTATTAACATAAAAGTTATGTCTTGTGTTGTTACCTTCTGAACTATAACCTGATCATCTGAAAAGTAAAAGTAAATTGTATTTAAAGTAAAAGAGAAAAAAACCTAGGATTTGGGTAAAAAGAGTTTTATTTCATAGGAGAAGAAAAACCATGTGTTTTTATGAGATGTAATTTGTGATGGATGAATGCAACAATGGAAAACATACCTTAATGTGTTAGAGGGATCACAGAAAGACTGTTAGGAGCTAGACAATTAAATTTCAAAAATATGACAAGACAAGTTATGTGTCATAGATTGATTAAAAACAAGGGCACCTGCAAAGAGTGGTAGAAATTCAGGTGCGAGGCCAGTCCATTGTTTAAAATATTCCCTCTCCAAAGCCCAATTTCACCAAAGAGGAATCATAAACGGAAAATGTTTGCAATGAACCGTGAACGTATCTGTTCTACTTACGCTGACTGCCAGACTAAGTACTGGACTGGTGTAGTCGATGGTGTGGACCGGACGGTACGTTGACACATCGTACACCTTGACATGTCTATCTAGAGACCCAGACAGTAGTCTGCGGCCGTCTGACGCTAGACACAGACACGTCACGGTCTTGTGGTGTTGACAGAGTCTCGCCAACAGTCGGCCACCGGTCAGAGCGTCCCACACTCGCACTTCTGTACCTCCTGTATACAACACATTACGGTGTAAACCAGTCAGATGATATATACAACAGTATAAACATTTTTAAGTATAATAGTGTATTGACTTTTGGATACTGGAGGGAGATCCAATAACAGTGTAATATAACTATGTTAAACCAAAACCTATTTTAGCCTAAATTAAAATTTTTTTTAATTTAATATTCAAATCAATCGTAAAATTGGCTAAACAATGGGAACAGTCTGCTGTGGCACAGGTAGTTGGTCCGGCTTGGTAAAGGGATTGATTATTGATTGATAATTGTCAATTGAGCAGTTAACGATATACCTAATAAAGAGCAGGAAACAACATATGGTTATTTTAAGAAATCAATTTTCCTTATTCAGTAGCATTTTAAGCTGAATTAAAATTTTGTGTAAATGATTGTTGTAGATTTTTCTGAACTAGAACAGCTTATGAATTCTAACCACCAATTAATCAACAAATGGATTTTCCAGCACGGCCTTGCTCCCTCCCTTTATATTTGGTAATAAGAGTTTTACTATTGGTGGACCAGCTGTAACCAATATTTGATCCTAAAAGAACACTGATGAATGAACCACTCATAGAATATGGTGCAGTCTATATTTTCTAGCTCAATTTTTGTTACTGTGATAGTCGATAAGACAAAAAGTTGGTGGATTCAACAAGAATCGGTAATTTACTTTAGCAATTTGTTTGTGGACCAATTCAACTAAGTTTGTTTTAATTCCAAGACTCCAATATAGGAATTGAGTATTTAGTCTTATCCACAGTCAAAGCTGCTGGCATAGATTAGCACTGTTTGAACGGTCATCTCAATGTGATGGATCACAATCATTATTTGAACCTCATTTGGATAAGAGAAGAAATTGGGAGGTTTGTATATAGGTATGACAATTATTTTATACTTCTTTCATCCAATTGATCCAACCAGTTGTTTTAGTTATTGGTACTCTTTAACGATATCATATCCATACCCCGAATCAATTGCAGTAGTGCCACAACAGTAGCCATATTGTAGCGGTATTACATCACAGTGCAGCCAAATCGAAACCATACTGATTTTACTGACTAATAAACTAGACTGGGTGTATCAAGTTTCCCTGCGTATTAAGTGTCCCCGGTCTCCTCTACTGTGAGAAAGAGGGATCACGAATCGCTAAAAACAATCATTATCTCTAGAGTTCACATTTACCGGCTGACACAAAAATTCCTCCAGAGGGCAGAAACAGCACACTCTCCACCGGCGCACCATGGTCAACAATGAACACCGGGTCGCTGCTGGTGCGAGCATCGAACATCCTAACCTGGCGGTCGTAGCAGCCGGACAGCACAGTGGTGGGGGAGACAGGCGACACGGCTCCGGCTCTCACATAGTCCTGGACAAACCCTCGTATTATCACTGAGACAAAATTAGTTCATTGTTGGAAACTAAAAAGATTGTAACAAACTATATATGGTTAGTTTGGAAAAACAAGGTTGACAAGAAATTTTTCCCTGAACCCCTGAATTGGATTACTAATAATGGTGTAACTACCTTACGATCATTCAGTTCAAGTGTAGTATTTTTTCTTGTGACCTGGATTTCACACATTCTAGTAGTTGAGACGCAAGACAATACTTAGGAAAATACTCAAGTAGACCTCAATAAGGTTCCAGCTGGTTGTGGCTCAAATGTCACTTGTTGCGGCCGCTGACCTCACATGTGTGCGTCCATGCTGTACATACCAATCGGTAAATGTTTACTTGTTTCATGTTATAGGCATGTAGACTAACTCAAGCATGAGATGTAGCTTTATCTCAAGGAGGTCCAACGGACTGGACTGCTCACTGATGTCTGATTACACCCCAACAATGTTCTATAACCTAGGTTGCAAGAAAAACTACTACATGAGAGCTGGATGACTGAAAGTAATTAAACCATTTTTAATGTATTATATTGGACGATATGAAAAAAAATAGTGTAGTGGGCATCTATGGGGAGGGGAGGTTCATAATCTCCAAGATCATCAAGTAGTCACGTACTGTTGAAAACCAAAAGTTATACTTGTCTGTGTGGTGATCCTTAGTGAAGTACTATAATTACAGATAAGTCACAAGGAACTAGTTGACTGCAGTTATAAGATTATAGAGGTTGCTAGGCTCGATCCAGCAATGACAGACTTATCAAGACTATCCCAACTGAGCTACAGTATTCAACAAAACCATAATTACCTGCTTTTATAGCATCCTCTACGTATCAAAACCAAAATAAATTTTTTGCTCACTGATTCAATCATTTACTATGCTTACGTTTCACCGGAACTTAATATTTTAACAAAAAGGCTTGACAATTCTTTGAATTTTGGTTAAAAAATTGTTGATATTCTACTTAAGACGTTATATAGATCAGAAGGACCTAGGTTTTAAGGATTTTTTGTAACTAAATCCTGCCATCCTAACAAAAATCATTTTTATAATATTAATGTCAATATTTCCATCCATACAAAAGCAACACATACATCATGTCCAGTGAATGTGTGTAGTTTATTTTCACTCGGGACATCCCAGAGGGCTACGGTTTTGTCATCTGAGAAGCTGGCCACATGCGTCTTATCTGAGGTGAAGAAACATCTGTGTACGGCACTGTAAAATTCAGTAAAAAAATACAACTAACGAATTTGAAAACATGGTACCTTGGTATTATACGGAGGGCACTTATTTTACAGCGTGCTGCGGCGGTTATGTTAGGTTGAGTTATCATATATATGTTTTAGGACTTTCCTTGTTTTGTTATGAATCGAACGATACCAGATGAGTCATACTTTCTGTTTATAATAACCCAACCTATCATAACCGCCGCAGTGCGCTGTATAAGGGTGGCCTCCGTATAATACCAAAATACCAAAAACATATAGGCTACTACAATTAACAGAAGACAGGGATTTTAAATTCCATCACTGATGTTAGAAACAAACATTAAATACATCACATCTGTATATAGGCCTACACCAGCTGTTGAATGTTTTAATTCCTTTTAGAACATACTAGCAGCCAGCCGGCACGCGTTGCTGCGCTGACAACTATTATTTTTTTAAATGATAATTTTTACTTTACAAAAATAAATAAAAATACCAAAAACAAAAATAGAATATTTATTTTATTTAATTGCCAGTGGATAGTCAATGTGTTTTTTTTTTTTTTTTTTTATTAAGTGTATAAATATATAAGTTTTTAGGTGTACCTACCACCACGTGAGCACGCAACATAGCCTACAGCTGTCTGTGTGAAAGGCATGCATTTTCTAAATTTTAACCGGCGATAGTCAGGGTCTTTTGCCTTATAATGGCGATTGTGAAGACGTAAAGGAAATTGTAGTAGTTTGAATTCAAAAGGTAATTCGGATTAAATCATCAGTATTCTTGGTATTAAGGCTATTTCTCTTTTAAACTTACCACTGAAAACTGTTGCTTCGATCAAGTTTGGTGTCATTTTTTTAATCGTCAGTCTGGTTCTGTTACACAGCTTGGGTGGATTTAAGTTTTGCATTAGTATTATTGGAGTTCATTCTTTTAATGATATTCTTTGATTCTTTTAATGTGGTGGGTTAATGGCATATTGGGAGGCATTTGAATACCTGAGATAGCTTGCACGATTATTATTCACTTAATAATATATGTTAGATTGTGTGGGTATAGAACGAAAGATAAAAATACTAAGGCATTGCCATTCCTTTTATTGTTTATAATACTTTGATAATGGTTTTTACTTTTTATGTTTACATATTTAATAGTGGAAAGTTTAAACGTTGTTGAGTGCACAGGTGTGTTGCGATTGGGGTTTAATATATTTTGACTTATTCAAAAGTAAAAAATAGTTTTCTGTGCTGCATTCTGTGGAAACAGTGTGGCACTATTTCAAATCATGACCAATACAGAATGTTAAGTGATTATTCAAACCTACAATACAGTTGGTGAAAGTAAACATCTGCTTTTAAATCATATTTACTAGAGGACCCATGCTGCTCCGCAGCGTTCAAATAATTATTATATCCGAGAAATAATCAAATTTATAGCAGCTAGCTTACCTTGAAAGTGTGTGTAGGCCATAGAACAAGTAGAAAAACACTTTTTTCTATTTTTTCATTAAGTAATACAATTTCTTGAGCATTACTGATTCAAACGATCAATATCTCAAAATAAATCCTATAATTTACTGATTATTTTGTGTCTAAAAGATATAGAAAAAAATGAACAATAATGGAGCTATTGATTTTTAACCATATTAAAACCTTATGAATAATAATTTTTATATTGGCTATTCACCTTGCGTTTGCGTAATATTATAGATAATTATATGCCGATGCTTCAAGGCAAATCTGTGCGTGCATACCTTCAATTTGAGACCTCAATCATGAAAATCGGTCGGGTAGAAGAGTCAAACGAACTCGGAAAAGAAATCCCAAATTTTTTAAATATATAAGATTTATTTGTAAACATTGTAGTTCCAAAGTCTGAATTTGGACACCTCAATACCCTCTGGGGCGGAGCTCTTTTGACAGAGCTGCACCAAACTTCACACAAAACCATCCTTGAATAATGGTTAGTAATGCATGAAGTTTCATTAGAATCTGTAGAGCGGTTTGAATGTCCGTATCAGAATCAGAATATTTTTATTGTCCTTCAGCATGACAATTATTATGCAATAGACAAAATCAAAGTTGACCCATAAGGTTTAAACACACATATAGTCAAAATTATATTTTCACTCTTATTTTTTGAAACTTTAATAATTGATATGACTTAAAAGATGGTAGCTCTAATAGTTAACTGGAAGTATTGGCTTGGACTGTTTGGAAATGTAGTGAATTCAGCAGAAATCAGTAATTTGTAGTGGCTCAACCCAACTTTGTTATTAAAAAACTGGCAACGTGTTCAGATTTAACAAGCGAATGGTATATCTAGTTTAATGGAATCAAATAAGCTATTCAACTTTTATCTGAAAAAATGGATAGAGGCAAGACATTTTAAACACGGGTTTTTATTGTTAAGTAGAACCAAGACACAACAGTGAGATTTTTAAGGAAGTGACTGTACTATAATATTTACAACAGCAAAAAGTCATTATGCCCCTTAATTATGTATTAGCTTTCAAAACTTCATATTTTGTTACCATTGTAAAGTGGGTTAGAACAACAGACAGCAAGTTAAAGGCTAAACAAACATTTTTGTATACTCTTACACACACTAAAATTTAGTTTTTTGACTACCTTGAATGTCCTCGAAACACTCTCAGGAGTGATTTTGACTCCACATCAAACAATCGCACCAAAGACTCTTGTCCTCCAGCGCACAATAGAAGTCCGTCCGATCGGAAACTGCCTCCATAAGCCGTCTCTCGGAACTTGTTGAGATTCTTTACTGGCTGTTTTGTCAAGGCGCTGTACACTTGGACCTGTTGAAACAAGTAAACTAACAACTTACCTGAATGTCTCATAACTAAACTTTGACAAGAACATTTGTGTTCATACACAAAAGATACACATTTTTTATTTTTTTATTTGATTAATATTTATTTTTTTATTATTTGATTACTATATGTTTAAATTTGGAATACATATGAAATACGTATTTGAAAAACAGATTTCAGCATCGTATTCAGCGTAAAATTCTGGTTTGAAACAATGGGTCACAACTCCACCTCTTGACATTTGAAAATATTTTTTGTATCCAATATGTTGTATCCAAGATGGCGGCCAAAAATGAATACCCCCGCCGCAGCAAACCTGCAGACTAAGCGAATTTCCATTGACCTGATTGGATTCACACTAAAATGCCTCCATAAAAATAGCACATTTATTTCCTATTTAAATAGAATTAGTTTAACAAGTACCTTAGGTTTGCTGCAACAGGGAGGGTAAAAAAGATTTTTTTATAAAATGATAATAGTTTAGTAAGAAATAAAAGTATTTTCCAAAATCGATCAAAATATGTTCATAAACAAGCAAACTGCAACAGTCGACTTATTCTCCATAAGAATAACATGGGAATTTTAAAATTACAATTTTTTTGAATTTTCTCCGTAACAATTAGGCGCATAATAACGCTTCAATATACTAAATTATTTGTTTTTTTAAGCTCTACAAAATGGTTTAAAAAGAAACTGTGAAATTTTGTGTTTTTAGGGGCAAAAATGGGAAAAACCTATTTTTACCCCATAAAACCCCCCATAAACCCCCGTTCCCATAGTCCGATCATGCTGGTTCGCGAACTCATTCAAGTTTATCCCGCCTTACACCTTCAAACCAAATTTTATCAAAATCGGACAAAAATTACTCAAGTTATCGTGCGGATGGACACATATATATATAGATATATAAAAATTTGAACGAATGGTGTTTTTGGCCTCTGGGGACATCAAAATGAAAAAGTAAATCGGTCCCGGGCTTAGGTCTTACCATGAGACCTACGGTAATAGCTACTTCCCTAGGGAAATTCGCTAATACCCAGTCAAAATGAAGTACTTACTTACTACTCTACAATGATCTGACGTGGTCCGGAGTTGATATCTTAAGAAATTTAAAAAAAGTAGGGGGGAACTCATTTAAAACTCACTCTGTATAATTATGCCTAGTGTAGATTTGTTACCGTTAACTTAGTTAACTTAAATTTCAAAACATCCAAAGCTACATTGTAAACTAGGCCTAATTTAATTTAACATTCCACACATTTTTGTTAAACCTGCTAATAATGTTACAGTGGCAAACGGTAATTTTACAGAATCATTCTTAAATAGCTTACCCGAACTGAACAAGTCACAGCAAAGTAGTTTGGTTCTAGTGGTGAGAAATCAACATAATCAATGGCACCAAACTCTTTCAGTAGTACAGGAACCTAAAATGAACAAATAGTTACGAAATATTCAAAGATAAAGATATTTTATTTGGCCATTAAGATTTCACAACAGGCTAAGTTAAGTCATAGGCCTACATGCACAAGTGTTATTATTAACATAGATATTAACAAGTGGATTTTAACATAGACATATTAAAGCAGGATACTGGATAGTAGAAAGAATGATGTTGTTAATGTTCTTGAGTCACATAAGATTTATTGTTGGGATATTTACTGATAAGCTTTGTTACTGACTAAGATTAGCTGCTATCCTACATTAGCCAGAATCTATACTTATTTAATACGCAAGCAGGATTTTTGTGACAATTACTCCTCCGAAACTACTGAAACAATTGACATGTTTTTGGTTTCATTGGAAAATGCGTAACGTGAAGTTGTACAGGAAACTTTCTTATTAGGGAAATAATTAGAGAGTGAGGCCCTTTAAAGTTTCATATTTCTCCATAAGATTAACATGGGAAACAAAAACTGTTATGAAACTCCAGCTGTTGTCAGAAATTAAAAGTGAGAAGAAGAACATAATTATGTTAATTGTAAACAGTCAATAAGTTTGCTAATTTAACAGTTTGCTAAAAACATTTACTGACTTGGTTGAAATTAAATGTTTACTATTTGAATTTGGGTTGACGTAAATATTACAATGGGAAAAAGCGAGAGAGCCTGGATAAATTGATATACTAAAAATAAAACTGAATTAACACTGTGCTGCATTTTTTAGTATTGAAAGAGCCGATTTGCAAACTATGGAAACATAGGAAAGTCATAGAACACCACCGAGGAGAAGAAATAGAAATAATGGTTTTTTTTATAATCGTTATATGGACAACCTAATGCGGCTATTGAGTAAGACTATTTGTAGAAAACACTAAAAAACAAGATCAGCTTTTGAAAAATGATAAGATATTTACAAGAAATTGTGATTATATCGATCTGTTATGTACATCATGATTATTTCCAAAATCTTTGAGTCGAATCTTTTAAAGTCATCAGAAATTATGACTATTATTCGTTTTAAAATAATTCCTGTAATACTTAGCAATTGCTCGAATTCGAGCAACAGGGACACTAGTCATTTATTTAAAGCCCAATGATCAGGGACAGCTGTGTTCCGTTTTGAACCATTAAGAAGCTACAGTACTTACTTTTCTCAGGATCAATCCGGCAACTTTTTGCTTAATACTAGGCAAGGTCCAACTTATAACCACTCAGCTACCCAGCCTGTGTAACTTAAACCGTGTTTTCAACGGAGTTGGCAACCAATGATTGCCGACCTTTATCGAGTATTTTGAGTCAAACGTACCAAGAAACTGCAACTCGCATTGCCGACCGATTTTGCGAGTTGAAAACCGAGATTTTGTTTTCCGGTCGGCAATGCAAGTTGCAGCGCCAACTTGAGCAGCAACTTGAGTCTACAACTAGTCGCCACTTGCCAAAAAGCGCAAAGTAAGTTAATGGCTAATTTTTCTCGCACTAGAATTGATTTTCTGTAGTTAGTATCCTGTTTGCTAATTATGTTCGTCCAATACCAACAATTAGACATTCAAAATCGTCGCTTGACATCTTAAACAATTTTTACACTGCCATCGCATCTCAATTCTCCCATCAAACGATCAGTATCTCGATTCAAATCATTTAATAGATCACTGCCTCTATACCTTGCTCTTGCTTGGAAAGAAGGTCGAAACCCAGTACCCGGTCTTTTACATTTGGCTAGAATAACAAACGCTGCCGCAGCAAGAACAACCTCTTCAGCACTCGAAATTCAACATACTATCAGATTTTTTTGCACGATGCAGACATAAGAAGCAAACTGTGTAGGCTACTAGGTTGCAAGTACAAGTTACAAACTTCCATTGGCAACTATAGCGTCTGCAATCGAAGTTGGGAATTTTTAGGTTGCCAACTCTGGTGTAAATGCCGCTTTGAACAATCAAATCAAAACAAAATTGCAAGTCCTCACAACAAGACTACCAGTAATTAAAAAATTATAATGAAAAAACTAGGCAGGCCTAAGAAAACGCTGATGTCATAGCTTAATGTTGGTTTATTGGCAGTTTTACATAGATTAAGCTAGCCTAAGACCAAAAATGGAACAGCTGAGATGCAGCTACACTACAGCTGAGATAAAAGTCCTACCGTATATGTACACCATCACTGTACCTACCAATATACTACTGGTAGGGGCTAGGCTACTAAGTTAGTGAAAAGTTTTATAAAACGCAGAGGATATGCGTCGAGTAACCAACGTGGATTAGGTGTCCGGCAGTGACGTCACCGGGTTGTGGGGGCCCGGAACACCATTACCACAACGATACGATTTACAGCCATCGGTGTTCGTGGTGTAGTGTATAGAGTAGCCTACTCGGCTGTTGTACAAGAGGTATCTAGATCAAATCCCATCGGTGACACTAACGTTTTGTCTAAACTTTGCTTAGAACGCCATTTCTTCTTAACTGTACATCTTTTGTTAGAATTGGAGGCATTTATAACTTTATTTTATGAACAAAATTTAACCTTCATTTGATTTTTTTTTTTCATTATCAGCAAGTCTGGTTAGTTAGGTTAGGTTATGACAGTAACTGCCGGACGTGTTGGGTATCCTCTACTTTTATAAAATCACAGAGGATACGTGTCCGGTAACCAGACATGGATTAGGCGTCCGGTAGTGACGTCACCGGGTTGTGGGGTCCCGGAACGCCATTACCACAACGATACGATGTTCGGCCAACGTTGTTCGTGGTGTAGTGGATAGAGTGCTCGGCTGATATCCAAGAGGTCCCTGGTTCGAAACCCGTTGGTTTCTTAAACTTTTTCATTCATTCATAAAGGCGGCCAGGGGACAAAGTTCAGCTCCTGAACCAGTCGAGACTCGGCACCCGTCATGTGCACACCAGTGTCTGTAGGCCTACAGTTTTTATTAATAGTGGTTTATTTACCTTGTATTTTCGTCACAGCTCAAAAATGTTGTATAGAAGCTACAACCATGGTTTCGACGCCGTTTGCGTCATGGTCACGTAGGACATGTCGAGAATCAAAGCATAGTTGTTGTTGTCATAGTCGGTCGCTTGGACGTCGTCAAAAACACATTAACACAAACACGAACACATACGGACATATTAACACTTAAAAATGTTCTCGGGGACGGAATACAGGCCTGTGTTTATTTAACTGTACCGTCGCGGGAGCCGGCTGGAGAACACTGAGCGCGACGGCGACGATGATAAGACGACCCTTGTACCTTAGGACATGGACTCGTCCTTCTGTAGGGGGTGTGTGTTGAACTCGTCTGACGAACTAGAGAAGTCTTGATGATTTTATTAAAAATTAAGTGGGAACTGTAATTAAGTTTCTCATTTAATACATGGTCGCTTTCCTGTTTTAGGGCCTTATAAATATGAAATTCCTCAAGGGTGTCAAGAGTAAAACCTTTGTTGCATACTTCCATTATTTCAATATTATTTTCAATATTTCCGGTGCTATGTTCTTCATCTATAATGTGTTGAGCGTAGCTTGATTTTTGAGGATTTATTCGGGGATTGGGTTTGTGTTCCTTGGCTCTTTTGGCGAAGGATCTGCCTGTTTGTCCTATGTAAAACTTATCACAGTCGTTGCATTTTAATTTATAGACACCAGTTTTTTCTAATTTATTTGTATTATGTTGTAATTTGGGTTTCAGCAAGTTGTCAATTTTATTTGAGGTTCTTGGAGCTGGAATTATGTTGAAGGGTCTGAGTTCTTTCCTTAATAAATTATGTAGTCTATGGCCGTATTCAATGGGAATATATTTAGGTTTTTCAATCAGTGGTTCATTTTTTTCGTAAGATTGTTTATTCAGCTGTTTAGTTACAAGTTTATCAATCATTTTCGTCTCATAGCCATTGGAACGAGCAATGTGCTTAATCGTATTTGATTCAATGTTATAATCCTCTGGGGACAATGGTATTTTGATCATTCTGTTAATCATGCTATTATAAGCGGCTAATTTGTGGCTGATAGGGTGGTATGAAGATGAGTGTATAGTTTGGTTGGTAGTTGTAGGTTTTCTGTATACACTGTATTTGAATCTATTGTTGAGTTTTTCTATTGTAAGGTCGAGGAAGTTAATCTTATTGTTGCTTTCGGTTTTGAGGGTAAATTTCAGTTTCGGTCGTATGCTATTAAGATATTTATTTAGCAACTGCAGCTGGCGAGCATTACCATCAAATAAGACCAGAGTATCGTCAACGTAGCGATAGTAGAACAGGATTTTATTTTGTTTTGGATTTTGTTCAGAAAGGATATATGAGTTCTCTATGTGGTTCAAAAATATTTCAGACAAAATTCCTGATAGAGGGGAACCCATAGCAAGGCCGTCAGATTGGAAATAAAATTTGTTGTCGAAGCTGAAGTAGTTTTGTTTTAGAGTAATATCTAACAGGTTGATCAATTCGGTTCTAGCTTCAGATGTTAAAGATTCGGTATTCTTCAGATGGTTATCGATTATTTGCAATGTTTCATGAATGGGTACGTTAGTGTATAGATTAACGATATCGAAGGAGGCTAGTGTGTGATGATTTTTTACTTCTATGTTTTTTGTTTTGTCGACTAAGTCTATGCTATTCTTCAAACTATGGCTGTCTGTGAATTCAAAATACGATCTAAGTATTTGGTCGAGTTTCTTAGCAACTTTGTATGCCGGCGCAGTTGTGAAATTTACAAGTGGGCGTATTGGGACTTCAGGTTTGTGAATTTTTGGGAGTCCTCTCAAGGATGGTGCTGAAGGGTTCATCATTTTTAAGGTCTTAATTTCCTCGGGTCTCAATAGATTCTTACTGGAGCTAATTGCCTTGTTAATAACACTGGTGTATTTGAGAGTTGGATCCTTATCAATTAGGGTGATGCTATTATCATTGATAAAACGGGTTACCTTATCTATGTATTCAGTCTGGTATAAAATAACAATGGAGTTGCCTTTGTCGGCTTTAGTGAGTATGGCTTTATTGTCTGTTAGTTTTTTCTTAATGCTGTTGAGGGTCCGTTTTTCGTTTGTGTTCGTCCTTTTATTCTTTGAATGAATGTTCTTGTTGTGTATTTGATTTATTTTGCTATTTACAACTGCACGTAATGCGTTACGTTCGTCGGTATTAGGAACAAACTTTATAGCGGACTCAGCTGCTATTAACTCATCAAAAATTCCAGATTTATCGTTTTTGGCCAAACTGTATTTCAAACCTTTGTTTAAGAGATCGGTTTCATGTTTGTCAAACTGTATTGTCGGTTTTATTAACTAATCGTGGATAAAATTCAAAATCGAAAACTAGGATTTCATCTCGGGGCTTTTGACTGTTCATAAGTTTAGTGATCTTTTGTTTCTGTTGTTTTTTCTTTTTGTACACCTTTTTACCGATACGGGAATCAATTATGCTAATGTGCTTATCAAATTGTAAAGCATGCAGGGAATCAGCTAGCTCAAGGTGTTTTTTGTAGAGTAACTTGTTTAACATTATTAGCCAGTCAGCTAATTTCCTAAACTTACTATCAAGTTATACTCTTAGCTGATGAAACTGTTCTAAACTAAACCTAACCTTCACGATCGTCTAACCTTAACCAAACATGCAGTATATGTGAGTAAATATAGGTAATGTAGGACAGAAACTGAAGTGCAACCAAATCTATAACTTGTTAAATTCCTTAACTTACCCCTAGTTTCTTCCAATACTCAGTATCTGGAGTCAATTTTTGAGAAGGTTTTGAAAACAGTTTTGTATTTGTTTTCTTAAAGGTAGCCATCGAAGTAAAGGGATTAAACCTTTCCTCACTAAAATGGAATTATAATATAGTTGATTCTTAATCGTGTGTAAGTTACGTTACGATACAAATAACACGGTTATTGCATAGGACTAAATGTAATGTAAATGTAAACCCAACCCAAACCCAAATCGAAACCATCCAAAGATCCAAACCAACCAAACCTAACAAAACTCGGGTATAACACCAGGCTGAAGTTAGCTGTCGAGCATCTGACGAATGCTAGGTCATAACACTGTCAGGAGGGAACAATAGGAACACTCGCTTCAACTTACAACAGACCAGTGCTTGGCCCTGGTTCTGTCCATGGTTCAGTCTTAGTGTGAGTAGACTGGTGATAATATTGACCCGAAAAATGTTTGTCTTACAATAACTTAAACAGACTTATTGGAAAAGTTATTAATAACTAGCCTATTCAGTACAAAAGTCATAGACAAGCTGCTTTCACTTTACCATTTTACACTTTTAAATCTATCAGTTTCGATTTGTTGATATGTGACTATCACACAATTAGATATATCAGTGTTTACTACTGATATATATTATCAAAACTCTTGACACTTTCCAGAAAGTTGATTTATCAAGCGTTGAAAATAGGTTTTAGCCGGCGATACGGCATGTGCGGGTCTCGGGATCTGCGAGTTAAAAAGTTGTCATTTTCGATTTGTTATTACGTAAGAACAAACAATGGTACCAATATGTGACTATCACACAATTGTAGATATCAGTGTTTACTACTGATATATATTATCAAAACTCTTGACACTTTCCAGAAAATTGATTTGTCAAGCGTCGAAAATTAGGTTTTGGCTCGTGATCCGACATGTGCGGGTCTCGGGATCTGCGAGTTAAAAAGTTGTCATTTTCGATTAGTTATTACGCAAGAACAAACTATGGTACCAATATGTGACTATCACACAATTATAGATATCAGTGTTTACTACTGATATATATAATCAAAACTCTTGACACTTTCCAGAAAGTTGATTTATCAAGCGTTGAAAATAGGTTTTAGCCGGGTATAGGGCATGTGCGGGTCTCGGGATCTGCGAGTTAAAAAGTTGTCGTTTTCGATTAGTTATTACGCAAGAACAAACAATGGTACCAATATGTGACTATCACACAATTATAGATATCAGTGTTTAATACTGTTATATATAATCAAAACTCTTGACACTTTCCAGGAAATTGATTTATCAAGCGTTGAAAATAGGTTTTAGCCGGCGATACGGCATGTGCGGGTCTCGGGATCTGCGAGTTAAAAAGTTGTCATTTTCGATTTGTTATTACGTAAGAACAAACAATGGTACCAATATGTGACTATCACACAATTGTAGATATCAGTGTTTACTACTGATATATATTATCAAAACTCTTGACACTTTCCAGAAAATTGATTTGTCAAGCGTCGAAAATTAGGTTTTGGCTCGTGATCCGACATGTGCGGGTCTCGGGATCTGCGAGTTAAAAAGTTGTCATTTTCGATTAGTTATTACGCAAGAACAAACTATGGTACCAATATGTGACTATCACACAATTATAGATATCAGTGTTTACTACTGATATATATAATCAAAAGTCTTGACACTTTCCAGAAAGTTGATTTATCAAGCGTTGAAAATAGGTTTTAGCCGGGTATAGGGCATGTGCGGGTCTCGGGATCTGCGAGTTAAAAAGTTGTCGTTTTCGATTAGTTATTACGCAAGAACAAATAATGGTACCAATATGTGACTATCACACAATTATAGATATCAGTGTTTAATACTGTTATATATAATCAAAACTCTTGACACTTTCCAGGAAGTTGATTTATCAAGCGTTGAAAATAGGTTTTAGCCGGCGATACGGCATGTGCGGGTCTCGGGATCTGCGAGTTAAAAAGTTGTCATTTTCGATTTGTTATTACGTAAGAACAAACAATGGTACCAATATGTGACTATCACACAATTGGAGATATCAGTATTTACTACTGATATATATTATGAAAACTCTTGACACTTTTCTGAAAGTTGAATCATCAAGCGTTGAAAAGTAGTTTTTAGCTCGTGATTCGACGGTTGCGGGTCTCGGGCTGTGAGTTAAAAATTGCTAGTTTCGATTTGTTATTGCGTAAAAACAAACGATGGTACCAATATTTGACTATAACAATATTAGAGATATCAGTGTTTATTACTGTTATATATAATCAAAACTGTTGACACTTTTCAGAAAGTGTAATTTATCAAGCGTTGAAAATTAAATTGATGATGATTTTAAAGAACAGTGTTTGATGTGTTTTGGTTTACAGTTAGAAGATAATTTCACTGATTCTTATGGTAGATGTCAAAATTTGTTCGGCTAACAAATATAATGAATGGATTCAATATACTGAAGGACATTCCTAACCAAATACGTCTATATTTACAAATTGTAGTGCAGTATTTTAGAATGAAATATAGATATTTCAACTATGCTAGAGTGGTAAACAGGTTACTTATTTGCGCCCGTAATAGTCGTGTCGTAATAGCTTGGCCATTTCAGTATGAAACAACTAGATTCGACAATAAACACAAACCTGGTTGTTCATACATAAATGGCCTCTCGGGTGAGAGGCACTAGGTATCTGAAACATAAAATCAATTAATATGTTCACACAAGGGTGTAGGCATTCTTATATAAATATTTTTTTTATTTTTTATTTTATTATTTTTTTGTTTTTTTTTGTTTTTCATTCATCTAAAAGCTATGGTTTGATCAATCAAACCGCGCACCGCACTTATGCCACCAGGCTGCTGTTAGCCCCTCCCCGGAAGCTTTGCCTCCGAAGTCGGTCTCCCCAGGGGCCGTCAAAGCTAACTGCATACAATGCATAGTCCCTGCGTGGCACAGCCCTCCAAAGTGCGCCCTTATATAAACTTAATAATACCATTTAATACAGGTATATTAATACACTGCTCTTGATTAAGGCAGTGATATTGGTAATCATGGATAATCATGCAGGAAAGAAGGTTACAATAAAGCAAAATGTTGCAGTTGGAAGATTTTTGAATTATGATTATAGTTGAAAGTTTGGATTACAGTTTTAATGTTATTATACTTGTTTTTTTAGCAATTTCTTTTAGTAAACAAATCAAAGCAATGCATTTCAAAACAGAGACCTTCATACGCAAGGTGACTAGGATTGTTTCCGCTCTTAAAAACATCACTATAATATGTAAGACATGTGAAGTTTTAATGTTTTTATACTTGATTTTCTTTGGCAATTTCTTTTAGTAAACAAATCAAAGCAATGCATTTAAAACAGAAACCTTCATACGCAAGGTGACTAGGATTGTTTCCGCTCTTAAAAAACATCACTATAATATGTAAGACATATGAAATTTTAATGTTATAATACTTGATTTTTAGCAATTTCTTTTAGTAAACAAATCAAAGCAATGCATTTAAAACAGAAACCTTCATACGCAAGGGGACTAGGATTGTTTCCGTTATTAAAAACCTTACTATAATATGTAAGACATATGAAGTTTTAATGTTCTTATACTTGATTTTTAGCAATTTCTTTTAGTAAACAAATCAAAGCAATGCATTTAAAACAGAAACCTTCATACGCAAGGTGACTAGGATTGTTTCCGTTATTAAAAACATTACTAATATTTAAGACATATGAAAGCAATAAATACAATAAATGGCAATTAAAAGTGTGATTTATATTTAAATTGAATAAAAATTGCTAACTCAATATGGCTCAATGTAGCTGACTGATTGTTTTTAATTAAACTTTTTCGAATATAACAAAAATTCACAACTGTAATCCAAACTATGTTCGATGTTGTGTTGTATTACACATGTGAACAAAGAGGGCAGTAAAACTCAAAGCCCTCTGACTGGATCACGTCAAATGTCACTTCGGTTTCCAGGCAGGGATAATGGAGCCAGCGTTTACATTGATGGCATTGGCACCAATCGTGACGTTTTATTTCACCTGACCCACACAAAAAACATAAGTCTTTCATGTCAGAGGACTTCTGAAGAACACGGAGCTGCAGCCACTCCCTGAAAACAAAAGGGTCAAAGGACTGTGAGATGCTGGTCAACCGCCCCACCTTGGAAAGTTGGGAAATGTAATGGATTACATACACACCACAGTTGTAGGTGTCATGGCCGGGTTGGTTTGGAAATTTTTCTGCAACTACTTCAAAACTGTCGATGTCTATGAAATCTGGTGCCATTGAATTTCTCTTGGAGAAAAACCTTACTATTCTTGAGCACTTGTCTCTGATGGATTGATGATCTCCTCCATAAGGATCGAGATAGCTCATGGCTTTGCGTTTAATGTCAACTACAAACAATGAAAAATGATTTGATTCGAGACAAGGCATAAAAATGACTGACATTTGACTGAGTGACATTGCAACTGGTTTCAAGGTGACTGATAACTTTTCTTTTAGGGCAAACCGTGTCTCACCAATAGAAAAACAAAATTGATCATCTTTTTTGTCAAAAAAAACGGACTTTTTTGTAACATCTACTACAGTAAGTGTCCAATGCATATTTTTGTTTTCAACGTTGACAGGAATCAACAAGTACTTGGAATTCAATATTTTTTCTGCAGTGATTATTTGATAACAAATGTTGCGTTACAAAAATCAACAACTGTTTCATTTAATCTTTCTCTTCCAAACAAGGTTCTCTGTAACTGAGTTGATTTAACCTTTCATCAAATCTGCCCATTGCTTTGTTTTTCAAAATGGCAATTACAACTTCTTTTGTGCTACACACATTGGAAGAATAATAATCAGGTTTTCCAACCAACCCATTTCCAAGACAAAACACGCTGAAGTCCCTGTGGTTTGAAACAAGTGATCGACACTTCCACCTGTATGCATCAACGTCAATGTTACCAAAATCATCACCAAGAAACAAGCCTTTTCTTAAAATTGACTCAATATAAAACAATATAAAGATTCCACAATTAAAACTGTCATTCTGTTTTGGGTAAACTAGTGTGTGAGATTGATTGGTCCAGCCAGTTAAGTTAATTTTTCTTCCAGGGAGAGAGACTTGGTTCAGGCATTTAAAAAAGGATAAAACATTGGTCAGAATTGAAGATGCATCTACTTGCGATGAACTTGGGTCAAAACAAAAAACGGACTTTTTTGTAACATCTACTACAGTAAGTGTCCAATGCATATTTTTG